GTACACCAAGTACTGGTCCCGCAGCTTGCGCAGCTGCATGAGGTCTGGCTTGAGGCTGTTCATGCGCTTGTCGATCTCGCGGTTCTCTGAGGCCTGTTTCTTCAGGTCCTGCTCCAGCTTCATCTTGCTGTCGTGGATCTCCGTGATGCGAGACTTGAGCTTCTCCGAGTTCATGAGGATGCTGGGAGAAGGGCAGGGGTCAGGCAGCCAGCCCGGAGCTGCGCTGCGGCGACGGGGAGCGCGCGCGGCCCGGCCGCCCCCGGCCTCACCGTTGCACCTCCTTCTCGTTGCCCTCGCGGCGGAAGCGCTCGATGTACTCCTTGCTGCACTTCTCCTGCGTCTGGCACTGCTCCTCGAAGATCTTGATGGTCTCGTTGAAGGCCTCAATTGCCGTCCTCTTCATCTGCAGCTCCTGCGGGGACAGGGCAGCGCTTGGGCAGGCTCCTTCCCAAACCAGCACCGTCCCCACTGCAGCCCGAACCGCCCCGTGTCACAGCCCATTCCCTGCAGGGCCCCCCCAAGCCCAGGCGCAAGCGGGGTGGAGGATTCCCAACTCCGTCCTCGCGTGTCCGGCTGCAGAGCGGGCCCGGCGGCGCCGGAATTCCGTGCGTACCTGCGACGTGCGGGTGTACTCCTTGTAGAGCAGGTCGTACTCCCAGCTCTTGTCCTGGTACTGCTGGTGATAGACCTTCAGCTGCTCCCCCACGGCCTCCACGCTGTCCTCCTTCACCACCTGGTCCTGCCACACGCAAGGGCCTCAGTGAGAGCTGTCCCTGCGCCGCTGGCACCCCGCAAGGCCACGTCCTGGCCGGCACGGGTGTCCCCTCCAGCCAGCCCCTGGCACGGCAGCAGGGCGCTCACCTGCTGGTACTTGGAGATGGGGTAGAGCAGCCGGGTGTCCAGCTTGGCGTTGTACTGGGCGAGCGACTCGTGCCGGTAGTGAGTGATGAGCTCCACCACCGAGCCGAAGGTGAGGGGCTCCGAGAAGCCGTACTTCCCTTCCCGGTGGAAGATCTTGATCAGCTTGTTGTTGCCTCCCTTCCTGCGGAGCGGGGAGCGCGGAGCCCTGAGCACCATCCCACACACGCCACGCGGCTCCGGCGTCCCCAGCGCAGGGAGAGCCGGCCCTACCTGAGCGTGAGCGTGTACTCCCCTTGGATCTTGCTGGAGGCATCGCGCACCAGGAAGGTGCCGTCCGGCGTGTCCCGCAGCTTCTCGTTCACTTCCTCCCTGCGAGGGACACGGGATGATGGGGACACGCGACCAGCCCTGTCCTGAGAGCCTAGCCAAAGATACACCCCCACCCCAGGCTAATGTGACGGGCAGGGCGCCCTGCGACACAAGGTGGCAGCACCCGACCTGTCGGGGCCACGTGTGCTCCCGAGTGACCCCCTTACCGGGAAATGTCACCCCAGTACCACTCGGCGTCCTGCAAGGCCACGCTGCTCCCGTTGGCCAGGCTGGCCGCGCTGGGCTTCGGCTTGGCCGGTTTCGGAGGCAGAGCTGTAGGAGAGGCAGGAACTCGGCAGGGCTGGTACCAGGCCCTGCTCGCCACCCCGAGGGCCG